ACCCCCCACACCCCCTTCACCATCACCATCAGTCTTGGAGCTCCCCAAGACGACTCCCCCTACTCCGGATATAAAAAGTATAATGAAGCTTCAAATTTGTCTAGTTCAGGCTACTTTCGTGAAACTTTTGCCAAAATCGTGCCAACTTTTGCCAAAAACCCGTGAGCCTCCCACTTTTACGACTTCGGTTCGCACTTTTTCTAGAGGTCGTTAATCTCGCTCAACCCCAAATGCGACCCCCGTTCGAATTCGAAGTGCAAACGGATAGTTGACCCTGCTTCCAAGCTTGAATGATAAACAGCAAGTGAAACATTTCAGAGCTTTGGAGCGATTGCGAGCTTACGATCTCCTGAACTCTCTCAAAGATTACTATCGGGCCATGATCGAGAGCAGAAGTCATGCAGAGCAGGAGGCAAGTTTTTTTCTCCATGGACTACCACTTTATAGTGAGAAAGCGATCCATTTCAGGAAATTCGGCGATTTTTTCAACGAATGAACGACTCATTTGCACGCTGTTTTAATCCAATTAAAGACAAATACGAGTATCGCTATTGATTTATTGATTTGTTGTATATTGACCCGTGTGTGCTTTGTTCGACCTATATGTTCTCAGGGTTGCCTCGGTCTAAACCAATATTGCTGTGTTGAATCCCGGTTACTATGTATATAGATGTAAATTATAAAGTTTTCCTCTTCAGACTTGTGCACTCCTAAGAACTAAAGGAAATAAGCCCAGCGAAAGTATGAATGTATTCAGGAGACCGAGAAAAGCAGCATTGACTGAAAGTACGGTTTACTTACACGCCTGCGTGCCCAATCATTTCGATCCCAAGCTAATCATGCTTCCAACTGGTCTGGGAACTGATTAGGCCAAATTTGTCAGGAATAAGAAAAATCAGATTTGTGAAGGCGTATACTATCTTCATTAGCTGAGTAAATTTGACAGCAACTGAATACGTGGCGTATTCTCAGAACAAGTGGGCACTACTCATCTATTAACGCCAGAATCCATTTCGCCCATAGGGGTAATTCGATGCCCTGATTACGAAAATGATATTCTTTTTAGGTGGCGCCATCTGGCGCCAGTTGGCGCCACCCTTGTCACGACAGCTGTTCCCACCAAATTCGGTGT